CAAACATAAAACCCACCAAAAACCCTAAATCCTAACAAGCGGCGTGTGCGGGATCTGACGCCCCACGCTCGAGGGGATGAACACCGGGCTGTCGAGCTGCTCTGCATGCACCGCCACCGCCAGCCGCACCCGGGCGCTTTCCGGCGGGGGAACATTGCGGCGGTTCGCGATAGGCAGCATAAGCCCCAAAGCCTAGTGCGAAGCACGGCCTTCGGGGTTGCCGGTGCTTCGAGGTTCTGACGAAGGCGGGTGTTTGAGAGTGCTGTTGCGGAGCACCCTGTCGGGTCCCAGTATATAGCTCTCCGGCCATTTGATCTGATCAACCCTGCCATGTCCTATATGTGTCAAATTGGTGGCCTGGGGCATGCACCGTTTGATCATGCTGCAGCTCGAGGATGTTCGATCGAAGCACATGCATGGAGCATGGCATGCATGCATGCATGGCATAAGTGCAAATTTAAAGGCCGGTCCTCGATCCACGTCGTCGATGCAGCCCCTATAAACCCTAAACCTTAAACCCTAAACCGGATGACAGCACACCTTCCAGACTGAGCTCACCCCTGCCTTCAAGGACGTCTCAGGGTTTAGGGGTTTTGTTTAGGGTTTAGTGTCTAGGGTTCAGGGTTTAGGGTTTAGGGCTTATATAAGCTACAGAAACCATTCCCCAAGGGTCCTAGGTACTCTTATGGCGGAATACTTCCCAAACCATAATAGTACCCAGAGGCTCCATATAGACTGCCATTATGGAATTAAGTCCCTAAAGCCATAATAAGTATGGTCTTTTGCAAACTAGTTCCATAGTGGTAGTCTATATGGAGGCTCTAGGGTAATTCCTACTATAGAAGCCCTGCATTCTACGATATAGGTACTTTGGACCCTATATCACACATTTAGCCTAGCAATGATGCATGACACCTTACATTTGGTTCTTCTTTTGCGTTACCCTGTAGGTTCCTGAATAAAAAAAAGGTGGTGACCCACAAAAAATGTAAGCACAATAGAAACTGTAGCTATTCCGACCACCTCTCTTCATTACAAGACTGAGCTTCAAAGACCGAAGGGCACCAAAGGTGGATGAAGGTAGGTCGGGCAATCCCAAACTAAGGGTCCTTCTACAAGAGATCATTTTCCCTTAGGGGCTGAATACCCTAGCCCAAAAAAGGTTAACCTTTGACGCTAGGTAGGATTTGATGAGCCCCTAAAAGTTAAAGCTTACCTACTCAGCCCCGAAGTATACCTTTTGACCCTAAACCCTAAACCTGTAAACCCTAACCCTAAGGGTCCAAGTACCTAATAATCATATACTCTCCCAAATATTAACCTAGAAAACTACTATCCGCAACCAAAGTACCTTATCATTGGGTCCTTTGGACCCTTAGGGTAAACCCCTGCCTCATCCCACCTTTGGAAAGCCCTAAACCCTGAACTCTAAACTTTTCGAAGATCTTCGGAGGCCCCCGAAATCGGGTTTAGGGTTTAGGGTTCAGGGTTTAGGGTTCACGGTTTAGGGTTTAGGGTCCAGTATCCTGGGGAACTCAAGGTAAACCTTTGAGTTGGGAGGATATTGGGATGAAAGAGGCATTGTACCCTAAACCATAAACCGTTCACCCAAAGGTTACCTACTCTACTGCTACGGAAAGCCTTTATATAGAGATTATACCCTGAACCATACAGCCTAAACCCAAAGGCTCCTTACTCTACTGCTACGGAAAGCCTTTATATAGAGATTATACCCTGAACCATACAGCCTAAACCCAAAGGCTACTTACTCTACTGCTACGGAAAGCCTTTATACAGATTATACCCTGAACAATAAACCCTAAACCCAAAGGCTACCTACTCTACCTAAACCCTAAATCCTAAACCTACTCTACTGCTACAGTACGGAAAGGCCAAAGGGCTGTCGAGTAGATTTGTCTGCACGAAGTTGCGACGACGGCCCGGGCTCCGGGACCTCGAAGAGGGTTTAGGGTTTAGGG